GTTTCCTTCTTGTCACTGTTGGTTCCCTGAATATTTTGTTTTTTTCCTTTTGGGTATCTTTCATTTGTCAACCAAGCTCAATCAGTTCTGTGAGCATTTTGATTACCAGGGCTTTAAATTCTCCATCAGATAGGTTGGCTGTATCCTCCTTGCTTAGCTCTCTTTCTGAAGTTTTGCACTGTTCTTTCATTTTGGCCCTATTTCTTTGCTCAGGGCCCCTGATAAGTTTTAAGGGGGCAGGGCCTTTGGTAATCATCCAGGCAGGGCAAACCTCCTGGCTTTGCTGCAGCACTGTCTGTGGGGAAGGGGCCAGAAAGAGAACAATGCAGTGTGCCTGCTCATCTCTAGTGCAAACCCTTGTATGAGACTGGGAGTTTCTCCCACCACCGCAACTGCCATAGTCCACAGCCACTTCTGAGTCTGTTTCCCCTTAAGTCAGCCTATCCCACACAGTCTGCAGCCTCACTGTGGTTTCTCTTTATATGCTGCCTTACTGGTATGGTTGTTCTGGTTGATTTTTTCTTCAATCCTATGGTTGTCGGAGTTCCATGCAGTTTGATTTTCTGGCACTTGTGGTTGTTTATTGATTTCAATTGGTTGTTTTTCTCCTTTTGGCTGTGTGAGGAAGCAAAGGGTTTCTACCTACGCCTCCATTGTGGCTGGAACTTCTTGTTTTGATCTTTTTTTTGTTGTTCTGATTGGGTGTTTTCAGCTTCAAAATGTCTGATTTGGTCCTTTGCTTCATCTACATCACTGCTGATTACCTATAATGTATTTGTCATTGCATTTAATGTATTCTTCATTTCTGACTGGATCATTTTTATGTTTTCCATTTTTTATGTTTCCTGTCTCTTTGTTGAAGTTCTCATTAAGTTCATCTACTCTTCTCCTAAGTTCATTGAACATCCTTATAACCAGTCTTTTGAACTATGTATCTGCTAGATTGCTTGTTTCAATTTTATTTATTTTTTTCTGGAGTTTTGCTCTGTTCTTTCATTTGGAACATGATTTTTTTATTCCTTATTTTGGCTGCCTCCCTGTGTTTATCTGTATATTAGGTAGAGTTGCTATGTCTCCCAGGCTTGGTAGAGTTGCCTTACATAATAGGTGTCCTGTAGTAGGGTCCAGTGGCATAGTCTCCCCAATCATCTGAGCTGGGTGCTCCAAGTGTGAACTCCATGTAGGCTGTGAACACTCTCCTATTTGTAGTTGAGCTTTGATTGCTGTTGGCACCTCAACAGGAAAAATATAACCCAGGCTTATAGACTATAAAAATTGGTTGCAATCACTGTGGAGGATCAGCTGTTCAGGGGCCAACCTCACAGAACAGGACTCCCTTGAACAGTGCTCTGGTGCCTACTGAATCCACCCATTGAGAGTGTTGCTTGTGGAGGCGGTCGAGTGGTAGTCCTTTGGCATAGTCTCAAGTTGTCCACTTGGGTACACTGGCTCTGGGTTCTTGTGGCCTCCCAGGAAGTTCAGGCCAAGGTCAGCTTCCACCTGTGCCATGGCAGTAGCCACCTGGCATGAGCTACAAAGAAATCTACAGATGGTTGTTACTTTGCTGGGATTGGAGGTTTCCAGGTGAGGCCAAGTGACAAACCAAGGCCGTCTGCCATGAGTGTTGGGCCTGGGACCACTTAGTGACAGGTACAGGGCATGCTGAGGCCAGATGATGCTTCTCTGAGAGATTTTAGGAAAGTCTGAAGCATGAGGCAAGACTGGTCATTTGTATGGAAAAGGTTTGAGTGGGCTGACAAATTGAATGGGCCAGGATCTCGGGGAATCACCAGGGTGAGGAGAAAAGTGTTATGCATATTTATGGAGTATCAGATATGGCACCTGCCTGCCAGTTCTGTGGGAGGAGGGCTCAGAAAAAGGAACAATTGTTTCTGGTAGCACTTCTGTCTGGGAGAAAGCTGCCCATACAGCATATTGCCCTGATGCCAGATAATTCGGTTCCTCCACATAGTTTCTGATATATTTTGAGGTGCTGCTCCAGTGCTTGAGTTTAGAGGCAGTGAGTCTGAATAAGTCCATGTGTGGACCTTTTAAGAGGAATGTCTGGGACTCCAGAAGCCCTCTGTCTCACTTGGCCGCAATCCCTACTTATTTTTATGGCAAGAAGTTATGAGGACTTCTCTTCCAAGAAATGGAACCCTGGGCTAGAGGTCCTGGTGCGAGGCTGAGACTCCTTGCTTCTCAAGGGGAGCAACTGTAACTGAGACATCTCTCCCAATTTTAGTCTGCCACATGTGGGTATGGGACCAACCTGTTGCAATCTCTTCCCCTCCTAACAGTCTCAATGTGGCTTCTTTATATTCTTAGTTCTAGGCTTCTGTTCAGTGAAATTTCAGGCAGATCTCAATGATGGTTGTTCTGTAGTTTAGTTGTAATTTTGATGTAGTTGTGGAAGGATTTAAGTACTGTATTTACCTATACCACCATCTTGACTGAAACTCTGAGGCCCTGATATTTTTGTGTATAGGAAGAGAGGACCAACCATCTCAGAGACTCAGTTGAGCCTCTGGATGACTCCAGATGCCATCTGACTACAACTGCATGGTAACCCCCTAGTAAAATAAATAGAAGAACTTCCCAGTGGAACCCATTCAATCCATAGAATAGTGAGATAAAATAGGTTGTGTTTTAGCCATTACATTTCAAAGAAGTTTGTTAGGTAACAATAAGTAATAGAAGAATTCTCTTTCATAACTGGACCCAATACCACACACTATGATGTAGGGTAATAGAAATCTAATACCAAACCCCTTCTGTGCACACAAGGCCAGGTTTCCTTGTTGGAAACCTGTTCAACTCTCCGTGAAAAAGGTTTTACTTCTGGGTTATTCACACTTCTGTGTGAGCCAGGGATCAGTACAATATCTTCCCAGAAGGGAGTATTCCAAATCTATTCTTGAGTTATACAGGAAAGATTTAAGTTCCAGATCTTGGCCTTTCTAGCATAAATAGGCAGGTAGGGAAAACTCTATGAATGACTCTACATGCCTGCCTATCCAGAGGCTGATAATCACTCAACTGTATTGCCTTTCCAGGGCTTACAATATCCATCCACCACCACCACCACATACCCTTACAAGTTCTGGTTGCACTAAAAAAATTCTCCCATATGAATGCATGATGTCATTCTCAGGTTTGCATTAGATTGAGTTCTGAGTGCACCCACAAACAGGCATCATTCTCCTACAAATTTAGAAGATATATTGCTGACTTTATTTACTTCTTTTCATTTCCTTAAAAGTTCCACATCAACAGGTCCTTTGAAAACATTAATTTGCTGCTATAATAGTTTCAAAGTACATTTTGGAGGTAGCTGATAGGCATATAATGAAAAAAGACAACTTGTATAAAGCAACCATCCTGCATTGTTTTATTTAGAATGCACATCTTTATTTTATAAATATGGCCAACTTGTTTATGTAGGCTACTGAAGGGCAAAATGGTCTAAATAATCTAAAATTTTTGAGAAATGGTCATTGATATTTGTTTTAGAAATGCATTATAGATTTTTTCCACCACAAGCAGCAGTTATATCTAATCATGATTTTGCTTAGGGTAACACTAGAATTAAACTGCACACTGAGCATATATATGTCAAGAATATGTTGGGCAACTGAGCAAGTACAGCTAACTCAAGATTCTTCAGAAGCTGCTTGATGTACAATTTGCCTGCAAAGTCTTGACTCCTCTTTTTTGAAACTGATCTATCAGATTTCCCATATAAAATGAGAGCTATTTCTCACTTTGACAGGCTGCATACCAACTCCAAATATGCCATCATTTATAATATTCTCAAAATATCTATTCAGTTTACTTCTAAAATCTGTCCTCTTTTCCTGAGTCATGGCAGAATCTGGGCTCCTGTGTAAACTCATCCATTGCAATGTGTATTCCTGATACACTTTGGAGGTCATTTGAGAGACTTAATAGGTAAAGAAGAATGTTCTGGATCAGCCATAAGAATGCATAGCTTCAGCCATGGTCTTTACTCTGATTGTCCCTAAATCCTTTTTCCTAGCTAATACTTTCCCTCCAAATCTAGTGGTGTGTAGATCTGCCTATTTGTCTCCCCCTTTAATGTCCCACAGGAACTTCACCTGGCTTTCCTTTCCTCACTCCATTCCAAATTTACTTCTCCTATGTTCTTTATATCGGTGGTGGTACATCCAGTCCCCAAACTAAGAATTTCGGCATCCTTCTTGCCTTCTTCCTCCTCTCCTTGGTCCTTCCCCACCTTCTCCAGTTTTTGCTGATTTTACTCCTTGATTATCATGTTGGTTCACCTGCCCCTCTCCACCCTCTCTTCCACTCAGACCAAGTCTCCATCACTTCTTTTGTGGTTTATGAAAATGTTCTATTAATTGGCTTTCTTGCATGGAGTCTTGTTCCCTGCTCCCATTCATCTTTCACAGAGGAGACACAGATAAGCATTGTTCTAATACACACATCTTAAGTTACTCCAGTGCTGAATGGCCACCCATTTCCCTCAAGGCAAAGTTTTAAATCATTCACTCTTTTGCAAAAGCCTGATACAAGTGTGACACCTGCCAAACTTTCTAGCTTTGTGTCATGTCTCTTTTCCCTTTGGTCTCTCCACTTCACTCATGTTCTATTTTTAACCTGAGGACATGCTAGGCTCTCTAGTCTCTAAGCCTTTGTTAGGGTCCTCCCTTTGTCTGGAGTACCATTTCACTTTCCTGTTTATCTGGTTATGTCCTCCTCATTATTCAGATCTGGATCAAAATGTCACTGACTTAGGACAATTGTCTCTGACACTCCAGACTTTTAGGTCTCCTGGTTTATGCTCTCCTATCTCCCTGGACATCTTTGTAGCACTCTTCAGGCTATGAGTGCACAAGGGGATAGGATATGTATGTTGTATTTCTTTCTTTCTTTCTTTCTTTCTTTCTTTCTTTCTTTCTTTCTTTCTTTCTTTCTTTCTTTCTTTCTTTCTTTCTTTCTTTCTTTCTTTCTTTCTTTTAAATGTGGAACACTATGCATTTGAGTGTCACCCTTGCACAGGGGCCATGCCAATCTTCTCTGTATCATTCCATTTTATTATATGTGCTGCTGAAGTGAGAACAGGACATCTATGTTTTTGTTCCTTGATCAAGTCATTAGCACAGTGGTTAGGACAAAATAGGAGCTTAGGAAATGTTTTCTGGGTGACCAATTAGACAATAGCCTCCAAACTGGCCTCCTTTCCTCCAGGTTCTTCCCTTCCAACCTATTCTTTCCACTCCCACATGAGTGATCATCTAACTCTAAGATACGAGGCTAAGCTCCATTCATGTCACATTTGGAATAAAAATAATCAATTTTCCCCCTTATATACATAATGAAATTCAAATGCTTTCATGTAGGACATCAAGATCTTCTGTGATCTGTTCCAATACTATCTGATCAACCTTATTTTTGTCTTAATTTCTGCTTAGAAGAGTAGTCTACATTCCAGTCAGATGGAAGTAAACATTCTTTTATGTCCATGCCTCATGATTTCTAGCCTACATACATTTGCTTTTGCTGACCAATCTACCTGGCAAGTCTTGGCTGCATTCATGCATGACTCCCATATCTCCTTTATCATCCAGCTTAAAATTTTTGTCTTCCCTGAAGCTTTTATAGTTCCTCCCCATTGTAGCTAGAAATGACCACTTCTTTCTCCCAACATACCCAGTGTTTTTTACCTCCCTTGTGGCACTGATCCCATTACGTACACACAAGGCTCATTTTCTTACAGACTGCAAACTACAGGAGAGAAAGATCTGGCTATTTCTTTATCATTGACAGGAGTCAGGTAACAGTAGAGACATGGGGCCTATTTGCAGGCATACCACTTGTTTCATAAGCTTGTATTCAAAGTATGGTCCAAGGACAAGCTGCATAGGTATCATCTGGGGGTTTATCAGTAACTCACTATCTGAGGCCTACTAGACTTACCAAATCAGAATCTGCATTTTAACAAGATCACCAGGTGATTTGCACACACATCAAAATTTAAGAAGTAGTGCACTGTTTTTGTAACACCAGGGAACATACATTCTCAGAAAAAGATAAATACCACATTTTGTCATTCCATGCTCTCAGACCTGGTACCAATTTACAGATCAGCTGCACAGTGCGTGCTTCTCTATTTCTGCATTATTAGCCAGTAATCATCTGGCTCTTAGTTTGGGACCCTCCCCTTTTCAACAGCATGGGATAAAACCTATCCTAGACAAGGGAAATCCCTTTCTCCTAATAGAGGGCTGTGGATACACAAAGCCGATCTCAATCGGGGAGGAAAGCTGTGATTCTTTAAGCTTGCCTTAATCAATGAAGTCTCTGGCCAAGCTCTGAGTCAGCCTTGTGTCCTCTATTAATCATCTGTGAGAAGAATGCCATGGGGTGATAGTCAAGTGAGCTTTTGAGCTAACCACTCCTAGAAACATCTGGAGCCAGTGGAGGATCATGACCATGAATACAGATGAGAACAATTGAACAATTTGACTTAATCACATTTTTAAGTGCTTTGTACAAAATATATTTGTGTTTTGATCTAAAGTGGCAAAAAATAAGCAATGCTTGCACTTCCTAGGTTTTAGAAGAGATGTCAAGACTCCATTAAAGGGACTCCCCTGAACTTTCTCTCCAGATTGTTTGAATGAGAATAGCCTTCTCTTTTTCCTTAGGCCTTACTTAATTATTAATGTAGCTCAAGTGTTATATTCAGTGCCCACCTTGTCTGCAGAAGCTGATGGGTCCTATGGAGCACACTGTCATTTCTTCGCAGTGTGCTGCAGAGAAACCTGGTGATTGGAAATACCCTCAAGTTCAGGCAAAGCAGCTCAAAGTGGGAAGTGGCAAAACCTGTTTGCTTGCGTGTTTGATTTATTATGTACGTACGTACGTATGTATATATTTACGAGTGAGGCATGTATTTGCTGATAAATGACTGCTTCTAAAATCTCTTCACTCTGATTTGAGCTGCTTAGCCTCTAATCAGAACCACATCCAGACTCAGACAAGAGTGGCTTCAAACTAGCTTCAGTCTGACACTGTAGAAAATAATACAAAAACAAACAAAAAGCAACCCCAGGGCTTGCTAGCAATCCGGCTGTCACAGGCCCCTGACTGAGTGAACCTAATCAGAAGTATCTATTGTCAAATAAGGCTTTGCCAGAAAAAAAGTCAACTGCTTGGAATCAGAAACTGGAAGATAATGTATAGGCCACTAATGGAAGCTGTCCTCATAAGAAAGTTGCCCCTGGACAAAATTGTGAAATAGACACATTTTGCACTTTCTCTCTAACTATCTCTTCTTTTGGTGGGTGTATCAATCAATCAAAGTTCTCCAGAGATAGAGAGTAGGGGTGGTCTAAGGAACTGGCTAACATGTTTGTGGATCTGGCAAATTCAAAATCCATATGGCAGGCCATCTGGCTATAAACTCAGGCAGGATTTTCATGTTTTAGACTTGAGAACAATTTCCTTCTATGGCACACTAAGGCAGTTCTACCATTATAACTTCATTTAGTATAGGCCACCTTTTGCCTATGTTTCATCCAAACAAACAAGCTGATACACTGGGCTAGCATCATCTGGCCTTTCTGGTTATTTAAGGTTGTTGGTCTGGACCACAAGGGAATAATGATTGGGTTCCCTGTAGAACTAGGAAACCACAAAGGATTGACAGGGACACTTGTCTGATGCTTCCAGCATACATAACAGGAGTCTCTGGTGCAATGTCAAGATAGCCAAATTCCCAGGCTGTCAAATCTCTCAGGCAATGACTCCAGAGCTATTGTATGGTCTTCTTTTGACTTTTTAAGCCACAATAATTTGGCCTTCTTTATTGTGTACTGTTCTGCCCTGCTAGTCTGTACATTTCCTCTGAATTGAAAGAGTAGTCACTGGTCTCTTCCCAGCTGCCTGGCTCTCACCTCCCTAGGGAGCCCAAAAGAAGACTTGATTATGCCTGGCTGCCTCTTTCCCTGCTAGGATCCTGAAAGGCATCCAAAGATCCTTCATTTATTGAACAGCTATTCTGTGGTAGGCAGAGGTCTTTTTTTTTCTTTTTTCTTTTTTATTTAATTAATTTTATTTAGTTATTTTTCAAATACAGTTTTTTGTCTATTTTTCCCATCCCAGCCTCCCCCACCCCTTGCTCCCCACCTCCCTCCCATTTCCCCCCCCTTAGTTCTCATCCCTGTGTCCTTCCTATTTGTTCCTCCAAATCCATCCCCCTTTTTCCCCTTAACTTCCCTTCCTTCTCCCCTCTGGTCACTATCCCCTTGTTCTCTATTTCAGTGTCTTTGTTTTTTTTTTTTTTTTTTGCTTGCTTGTTTGTTCTGTTGTTTAGCTTCCTGTTAAAGGTGAGATCATATGGTATTTGTCTTTCAGCACCTGGCCTATTTCACTCAGCATAATGCTTTCCAGTTCCATCCATGTTGTTGCAAAAGGTAGTAGCTCCTTCTTTCTCTCTGCAGCATAGAATTCCATTGTGTATATGTACCACAATTTTTGGATCCATTCATTTACTGATGGGCACCTAGGTTGCTTCCAACTCTTGGCTATTGTAAATTGTGCTGCTATGAACATTGTGGTGCATAGTTCTTTGATATTGATGTTTTAGGATTCTTAGGATATAATCCTAGCAGTGGAATTGCTGGGTCAAAAGGCAGGTCGATTTTTATTTTTCTGAGAAAATTCCATACTGTTTTCCATAATGGTTGTACCAGTCCCACCAACAGTGAACTGAGGACCCTTTTTCCCCACAACCTCTCCAACATTTGTTGTTTGTCGCTTTGTTTATGATAGCCATCCTGACTGGTGTAAAGTGGTATCTCATTGTGGTTTTAATTTGCATCTCTCTGATAGGGCAGAGGTCTTTAGAAAGAAATCATATATGGTCCCTACTCTTGAAGTGCTCCAACCCAGGAAGTCAATAATTTCAGGCAACTGGGATTAAGAGGAAGCTAGCTTATCAACAGGAACTAATGTTCCTCCCTACTTTCCAACCTTGGTGATCCACATCCTCCCTCCTCACTATGTGCCTTTATTGGCCTTTTGGTTGCCCAGGGTTTTGCACTGCAGTTTTCTGGCCTTGCTCTCCCTCTCCATGCTTCCAAAATAGGTCTGCCCTACTCTTCTATGTGTTCAGAACTTGTTGACAGTTCATGGGTCATTGGTTATCACTCTGATAAAGTGGAGTGACAACATGGTATGAATAAATGATAGTGTACTTAAATTAATTCATTCTACCAACAAGTGTGTACCTGGAGTCTACTGTGTATCAGGTCTTGTGCTAGGTTCTGGGTATAGCGAGGTAAATCTGATATGGTTCTTGCCCACAGTGAACTCATCATTTTGTTAAGAAGATAGACAAGCAGATAAACACAGACAATTGCCACACAATATAAGAAGTGCAATGAGAGAAGTGTGTGCTGTGGACAGCTGTGGCAAAGAGAAGGAAAGAGTAACGCTTCTTGGCCTGGGAGAATGGTGATTAGGGAGAGGAGAGGCTTGAGCAGCTTCTTGAAAAATAAGTAGCTGCTCACCAACTAAACAGGCAAAATAGACATTCCAAGGAAAGGAAACAGAAGGAACAAAAGCACAGTTGTGTAGTCACACACAGCCTGTTGGGAGGATGAAGATAAATTGAGCTAGTGTGTCTACGTATGCCAGACACAGCACACAGCACATGCCAGAGGTTGGACATGTATGTAGACATTAAGGCTCTGGTCTTCCAGGCAATGAAACTTTGACTAGCTATTATGAGCAACACAGAGCTATGCACATTTTTGGATTTGGGTAATAGCTTTATTAAACTATAATGTATATACCATACAGTTCACTTACTTTAAGTATATAATTTGTGCTTCTCAGTATAGTCACAAATTTGTGCAACCACGATGACTACATAATTCTAGAATATTTTCATCACCCAAAAAAGAAACCTTATATTAGTTAGGAGCCATTTCCCATACCCCCCCAACTCTCTAGCCACTAGCAGCCACTATTCTATGTTTTTCAAACATATATATTTGCAAATTATGTATTATATATGTATATATAAAATTTGCCTATTCTTGATATTTCACA